ACCATTTGCTTCACATTATCTATTTCTAAAGCTTCTGTGCATAAATTTCCCTCATGTTCTATGACATACTTCATCAAACATGAGTTTTGGGTGGCAATTGCATCACCATCTTCTATTAATTTCATAAGTCCCCCTTTTTTACTTACTGTTGCCAGGGCACCATCAGTAAACTATACTAGGTATGTTGGCAATGGATAAAGAAAAGCACTTTAGGGCAGTGCCTGTAGCTCAGAGGAGTAGGGCTCCAGCCCCATATGCTGGAGGTGGTGGGTTCAAACCCAGCCCCAGCCAAAAACTGAAAAAAAAAAAAAAAACAAGAAAGAAAAGCACTTTAACATTTTTTCTGTTTTTGTATAAATCTCTCTCTCTTTTTTTTTTTTTTGGACAGTCTCACTATGTCAGCCTTGGTAGAGGGCCGTGGCATCACAGCTAGGAGCAACCTCAAACACTTGGGCTTAAGTGATTCTCTTGCCTTAGCCTCCCAAGTAGCTGGGACTACAGGCGCCCACCACAACACCCGGTTATTTTTTGGTTGCAGTTGTCATTGTTGTTTTAGCAGGCCCAGGCTGGGCTTGAACCCTCTAGCTTCAGTGTATGTGGCTGGCACCCTACTCCCTGAGCTACAGGTGCTGAGCCAATTAAGCGATTCTCTTGCCTCAGCCTCCCAAGTAGGGGGGACTATAGGCATCTGCCACAACACCCAGCTATTTTTTGTTGCAGTTGTTATTGTTTAGCAGGCCTGGGCCAGGTTCAAACCCACCAGCCTTGGTTTATATGGCCGGTACCCTAACCATTGAGCTACGGGTACTAAGACACTTTGTATAAATCTCTTGATTTAGTAGTGCCTTTTATTGGCACTAAGGAAGCCATTTCTTCAGTGACATTATACAGGGTGGCCATAAAGTCCATGTGCAAACCTCTAATAAAAATGGCAAGTTGAACTGTATCTGTAGCATCAGTGCTGTCATCTATCACCAAAGCATACGCTGTGAAATTAGCAACTTCATTTTCCAAACTTCTTTCAGTAGATTTCCCAATTTCTTCAATTCACCTGGCTATAGTCTGGTGAGACAAAGTGATTTTTAGAAATATTCGCCTTATTTTTTCAGGGCAAATTTTATCTGCCATCCTTTCTGTACAGTGCTTAATAAACTCACCACCAGTAAATGGTTTTGTTTTGATATTAAATATGCTACCACATAGCTAGCTTTTACAAGAGGATTTGTCTAGGTTGTAACTTTAAGAAATTTTTTTGTTGGTAAGATAGACTTTTTTTTGATCTGATATTTTATTCTTAATGACACAATCCTTTACATACATTGCATTTGGCAGCATGTTTTTGCACATTATGCCTGTTCAAATTACAGTGTTTGAAAACTTGCACAAATTCCCTACAAATTAACTAGAGTGCCTTATTATTTGCCTTGACAAAAATGTAGTCATCTGTCCACTTTTCACTGAATCTTTCATTTTCATCTTCATCAGTAATTCTTCTTTTTTGATGTCCTCTTTAGTTTTGAGACATTGTAGAAGCTATGCTTAGATTTAAAAAAATATAATAGATAAGGGACTATATTTACTTTTATTTTATTTTATAGACAGAGCCTCAAGCTGTTGCCCTGGGTAGAGTGCCGTGGCATCACAGCTCACAGCAACCTCCAACTCCTGGGCTCAAGATATTTTCCTGCCTCTGCCTCCCAAGTAGCTGGGACCACAGGCATCCACCACAATGCCTGGCTACTTTATTTGGTTGCAGCCATCATTGTTGTTTGGTGGGCCTGGGCTGGATTCAAACCCGCCACCTTGGGTGTATGTGGCTGGTGCCTTAGCCACTTGAGCCACAGGTGCTGAGCATATTTACTTTTATAAGGAAAACTAATTGATAAGAAAACAAAAGCAAAGTTTGGGCCCTTCCATGTCTTGGCTGCTGATGTGGGGCGAAGTGGAGGATGATTGTAAAGCACGGTGGTTGATGTGTGATGGGTCATGTAGCTGTGGAAGCATCTTAATCAACTAAGAATGCTCACCTGATTTCTGAATAACATTAAATGCTGAACGTTGCAATGGTAGGTTGAAATGTTATTGATAATCACTGCCTTGCCAAGTCACCATGAGCTCTTGTAATGTCTGTGCTGTCAATTCGACTGTCTGTGCTTGGAAGATAACACTGTACACCACACGCTGCTGTAAAACTGAAGCCACATATGAATACAAAAAGTGTGCGTGTACATATGTTTGTTTTACATGACATTGTGACAACATATTGTCGTCTACAAAGTTCATGCTTGAGAACCATGCAATTGAGTTCCAGCAAAGAATCTCATAATGTTTTAAGTAAGTTTATGATTTTGTGTTGGGCCACATTCATGGCCCTCAGGCTATGGGTTGGACACCTGCATATACAACCCCTGTTCCAAGTGCTTAAATACAGAGGGTGCCAAAAACATGTATACACATTTTAGGAAAGGGAACAAATGTGTTATTATTGTAACGCTCAAGTCATAAACAATTACAAGAGATACAAGATAAACTATGTAAGATAAAAAAAATTATTGGTATATAATTTTAATATAGTTGTTTCCTTTCTTAAGAAAGGAAATGTGTATACATTTTTTTGGTACCCTCAGTGTAATATACCCTGGACCAGGCATCCTCAAACTACGGCCAGCGGGGCCACATGTGGCCTGCCTAGGACATTTATCCAGCCTGCCAGGTGTTTTTGCCACCACTGCCGGTCCTGCTTAGTAGCCAACTTGTCCCCTGGCCTGCAGTCTGGCCTTCCAATGGTCTGAGGGACAGTGAACTGGCCCCCTCTTTAAAAAGTTTGAGGACCCCTGCCCTGGACAGTTCCTATAAGGGAACTATTCATCCCAATTAAATTAAATTAAATTAATTAATTAATTAATTTTTTTGGAGACAGAGCCTCAAGCTATCCCCCTGTATAGAGTGCTGTGGCATTTCAGCTCACAGCAACCTCCAACTCCTGGGCTTAAGCAAGTCTCCTGCCTCAGCCTCCCAAGTAGCTGGGACCACAGGTGCCTGCCACAATGCCCAGCTACTTTTTGGTTGCAGCCATCATTGTTGTTTGGTGGGCCTGGGCTGAATTCGAACCTGCCACCTTAGGTGTATGTGGCTGGTGCCTTAGCCACTTGAGCCACAGGCACTGAGCCTATCCCAGTTTTATAGTTGAGTCAACTGAGGCTCTATGACATGCTTTTGTTGCTCAAGGTTTAAGGTTACATGGCTAACTAGTAGCAGTGATGATATTCAGTCTAGGGCTGTTGGCCTCCAGAGGCTGTCCTAAACCAGTGTTACATATGCTGACCCATTTATCAGACATGCTGTCTCCTACTTGACCTGTGTTAAACCCATATTCACTTTCAAGTTCTGGTGGAACCACAGCTGTTCTGTGGGCTTTCTCTGTCTTCCTCCCCCACTATCTGACATGCAGTCTGCATCCTCACTGCCCGCCCCCGACGTGCTCCCTTTATGAGGCCCACCACACTTGTCTGTGTCTGTTTTCCCAACTGTGGGTTCTTCAGGGCATGCCCATCTCCCAGCCATCCACCTCTGCAGTTCCAGGACCTGGCAGTTTGTCTGAGAGGAGGAGGTGCCAGCAAATGTTTCTGGAAGGAATATGTTCTTGTTCTTATGACGTCAGACCACTATTCTCTGGGGCACCCCAACCCTCCCCCTCCCCCGTTATGGCTGACTACCTCCCTCAGTTTCATGCAGAGGATATCTGTCAGCGTGCTGCCAGTCCTAGACCACCAACCCCCCCCCGGGGGGTGTTCCTATCCGTTTCTTCCCATAGGGTTCTTGTATGCTAGGTCTGATCAGGGTTTTTGAACTGATCTCTTTAGATCCTTGGCGAAAAGTTGCTTGGCTTCCCTGAAGACGCTTCACTCACTTCCTAGGCGTCGCTGGGTGTGTGTGAGTGGGGGAGGGGGGTTGTTACTTTGCTTCACTCTTTAGTTCTGTCCTAGTTAACAGTCACATTCTACCAGAAAGCCCCTTGTCAAACCCCGAGGCATGTTCTGATGGAGTTTTCCTTTATCTCCTTTGCTAGGGTTTAGGATACGACTAACTGCCCCGCGGGGATGGCTCGGAGGTCCCCGATCCTGCTCAAGGTCAGCTATGTCACCTCCACATTCTCCGGGTAGCTTTCCTTCACTGTCGCCCCCTCTGTATTTCCAGCTTTTTCAGTTTCTCTCAGAACAAACGTGACTGGTTTTATTTCTGGGTAGGGAACCCACCCGGATGGCCGTAACGTAGGCACCTTCCACGCCCCTCCAGCGACGTCTAGAGTGTTGAGTGGGGTCTGAGACTTGCCTCAGGTTCTCGCAACATCGCTGCCTCTCCGCGGCTTCCCTGGATCCCTTTTGTGAGAGCTTCCAAACCCTGCGCTAAGCATTCAACGATGCGGACATAATTGTTTTTAATGTTTATGATATCTTTCGGTTATTTGTAAAGAAGAGTTTGTTTTTGTTATTTTAAATCCAAACGCACTCGGCTTTGCGGGCATGCATTCTGTTCCCCCCAAGATAAACGCCCTCGGTGGGGCTACCTAGAGCTGGAGAACAAGAGGTCTTTTCCCCGCGGCGTCCTTACCCAGCCTCTCGGGACGAGGTGCGGAGCGCCGGGGCCCTCCCCTGTGCCCTCCCCGGAGGTGCGGGGAAGGAGCAGAGCCGCGGCGCGCCCCGCGAGCGCGGCGTGGAGGGAGGGAGGGGAGCTGGCAGCGGGATCGGACTTCCTCCCTCCGCTCCGGAACTGTGCGCCCGGGCGGCCGGGACGCGGAAACCCGGGAGGCGTCGCGGGAGCCGGCGGGGCGGGGCCGGGTCGGCGGGGGCGGGCCGGGGCGGGGCCACGCGCGGGCTGCGCTGAGTGAGCGGGGCGAGCAGTGCCCGCTGCGCTCCCGCGGCTCTCTGAGCGCTGGGCACTGATCGAGCTGCGGTCCCTGCGCGCAGCCGCCGCCGCCGCCGCCGCCGCCACTGCCGCCTCCTCTTGAGCGGGATCGGCCCGGCGCGGCCGGTGGCCGGGGCGATGTGAGCCGGGGCCCGCGGGCGCGGCCGGACCGCCGCGATGTGGCTGAAGCCCGAGGAGGTGCTGCTGAAGAACGCCCTGAAGCTCTGGGTGACCCAGAAGAGCAGCTGCTACTTCATCCTGCAGCGGCGCCGCGGGCACGGCGAGGGGGGCGGCCGCCTCACCGGTAAGGGGCGCGCCGGGGCGAGTGGGCGGGCGGAGCGGCCGGGCCCCGGGCCTCTCTCCCCGCCGGGCCCACGGTCCCCAGCCCCGTGCTGCGTCGCAGGTGGTGGTGATTTTTTGGGAAATGAGGGGTCAGGACTGTCCTGCCTAGAGCTTGTTTTCCTTTCTTCTGTATTTCTCTGGAGAGTTCCCGTCGAGGTGGCAGAGGGACTCGCCGGCTGGTGCATTTCCCCAGGCGAGGCAGATGCCTTCGCCGCCTGGCCAGGTGAGCACCTGGAGGCCAGAAATTTGGCTTTGGGAATCGAAAGAGAAATGCCGGCTGGAGAGTCACTGGAGGGAGCGGGCTGCCCCAAGAGGAACGCGAGGCCAGGTGACAGCGGGATGCGCCTGGGCCAGCCTGGACTCGACCATCTGGATGCGCCTGAGGCTGCAGGTGGTGTAGCGGCTGGGAATATGCGGCCGGTCCACGGCGGGGCGCAGCTCGCGAGACCCCAGCAGCGATCAGGGACCGTTGGGTGTGTGGGCCCCGGACGGCTCCCGCGCCCGGAGGAGAATCCCGGTCTCCTGATCTTAGTAGCAAAATTGAGCAAGTCAGTTTTTCCCCTTCTTTCAGTGTCTTTCAAGGAATGACAGGGCCAAAAACCAGGCTTGTGAAGTTGATGAAAAACAAAGCATTCCCCCCTCCTAAAAGTTGTGATCCAAAGCTGTTTGAAATTGAGGCCACCTTTCATTAGCTGAGACACCTGTTTAAACAGGTCGGTGAAGGGATAGTTTATCAGCCATTTTCAGCTCTATCTAGGGAGCTTGTATCAAATTTCCCTATTTTGGAATCTGAATGAACAGGACCTTACATATTCCTCTCTCAGCCTTAGTTCTCCTGAGAAGACAGAGGTCAGAGAGGTCAAAGGACTGAGATTGAGTCCCTCCGTTGGTTGTTGGTGACTTTTTTTGCTCTCCAGAAAAAGAAGAGTGTGGGGAAGGCCCTTGCTGAGGAGGTATCTGGTGGGAAATGTATCAGTATCCCCCAAAGTGGCAGAACAGGTGCAGAGGGAATTGCCTTTGTTGGACTTTAACCTCCATAAAGCTAGTTGTTGGGTTGTTAGAGGGGGGAGGACTTCCCTGAGATCAAGGAGTGGGTGGGAGTCAGCCAGATTCTGCATAGAAGGGGTGGCGCGCAGTTGAGCATTCTGGGTGGAGTGGGGTAGGTAAGGTGTTGAGTGAGCAGAGGGCAGCGTGGACACCTGGTACGGGAGTTGTTTTGAGTGTTAGTGTAGGAGCAGGAGGCTGGTGGGCCCTTGTGCTCCTGAGCAGCACAGTGGTGACTGGGCTCTCTGGACCTGGTAGTTGGTGGCACCTTATGAAGGGCATTCAAGGTGAGGGGCCTGGAGAGGGGTTTGTCCCTTCCTTTTTTCAGGGCAGTGTATCTTAAAGTCCTTGGCCTAGAAATGGTCTCCTCTAGTGGGGAGTGAGGACAGGGTATAAAGATTTATGAAGTGAGACAAAGGACAGTTTGTCCAGCAGACACTTTCATTCATTCACTTGGGATATTCCCCTGCAACTGCTTTGGGAAAGACTCCTAAGCCAGGTGAAGAGGGCCTGCTGCCTTCAGGGTATTCACCATCTAGCAGGGGAGATGGGTCCAGACCCAGAGGAAGGAGCTGCTCATGGTTGAGCTTCAGTCTTCTGGAGAATTTGTGAATAACTCGAAATGATGTGGTCCCCTCCCAGATGCAATCCAAAATCCAGCAGATCTCATGTTGTCATTGTACCTGTAGCTTTGGTGGTGTGCTTAGGTATTTACTTTGATTTGGGCTTACTGGGAAATGTGCAGGATTTTCTTATTCTTAAGGGCAACAAGATCAAAGTATAAAAGGGAAAAAAGGCCACACAAAGAGAGAGGACATTTGCTTTATTTCTTAGAGACCCCGTTGACTGTGAAAGGCTAACATCTCCTCTGAAGCTGGATGCCTCACCTTCAGGCAGTTAGCCAGGAAACAGTGGCATGGCTGGGCTGATTGAGCAACCCTAACTTACCATTCCACTGTCAGGCTGGTCTTCATGGAGCCACTTAGGAATGCTGGAAAGTCAAGACCAGCGGGACACAGAAGGCAGCTCTGTGCTGGTGGCAGTTTTCTAAAAATGTAAAATTCTAATTTGGGAGGTTTTTAGCAATTTATTTAAGAGTTTCAGATTTAGATTGGGTTTATTTATGAAAATAGTGGGGGCTAACGTGCTGGCTGGTTCTAGACTTTTGTTTGGAAGGAAGCAAGCGGAAATGGCCTATGAGGGACTGGAAATAAATTGTAAGCAGAAATTAAAATGTATCTCTATCATTATGTTGCTGAATTTGCTATTAGATAAGAATGTAAACATATGAGGTCTAGTGGCTAAAGTAATCTGAACTGCCCAACTTCAGAAATACAGTAGAACCTTCATAGTTGAACGCCTCTGTAAGTTGACCTAACTTTCATAGACCGGACATGCACCACATGTATGCATCAGGACAGCAGGCCTAGTTTCTTATGTTAACCACCTGCATATGTCAATCAGTTTGTTACAATCCTTTGTGTGGTCAGTTCACAGAGATTCTACTGTATAAAGTTTTATTTCCTTGAGGATTATAATTTGTCCTCCTACTTTACGCACATATACATTCCCTATACACATCTGCAGATTTATTTTTCTCTGTAGTTCTTTCTCACTTTTTAATAATTACGATATCCTTGTGTATTTTCTACATTGTTTTCCTCTACTACATTTTGTGTTCTGTGAAGGTGCCTAGCATATAATATATGTATAGGAAACATTTCTAGGATGAATAAACAGAGGAATACATGTGTGAATGATGGATCCCACTTTTTTCTTAAAAGTTGGATGGGAAGGGCGCCGCCTGTGGCTGAAAGGAGTAGGGTGCTGGCCCTATAGAGCAGAGGTGGCGCGTTCATACCCGGCCCTGGCCAAAAACTGCAAAAAAAAAAAAATTGGATGGGAAAACTTTTTGGATTGAGGCTGACCTGTTCCTGGTTACCTGGAACCTCTCAGCTTCCCGTTTACCTGGCAGTCTTGACCACTGTGAAAAGTTGGAGGGGGAAGGGTGGGAAATAGAGTCCTTTCCTCCTGTCCTTTTTTATAGCTCCTTTTGAGGGGTGAAGATCATGGCTCTGACATTGCAGGTGGCCAGTGAAGATGGGCACAGATGTGAGCCGGGCAGTATTGGGGTATAGACACTTTTTTCTCATGTTAGAACATGGGGTGGCCAGAGTTCAGTATTCAGAGTGTTTCCAAAGCTCTGCTGATGGAAGAGATTCTGCTACCTTGGAGGGGAAGTAAAATTATACAGTGTTCACTTTGATACAGTCTCTAGCCCATGGGAATATTTCTTATAAAAGTTGAATCTGCTCTGGGGGAACAAAGAGTGGAGAAGTTACCATGTGGGAGGCGGTGCACAGATAGAACCCAGTTCTCTGAAGCACTTAAAATGAGTGGGTTCATAAGGAACTTAACTGAGCAGCAGAAAAACTAATAACACGATTGAAAAATGGGCCAAAAAGACTTTAATAGACACTTCCCGAAGGAAGATATGCAAATGCCAACAGTTATATGGAAAATGCTCAAGGTCACTAATGATGAAGTAAATGCAGATCGGAATTACTATGAGATACCACCTCACTCCAGTGAGTGGCTGTTAGCAAACAGACAAAGGAAGACAAGTGTTGGTGAGGATATGGGGAAAGGGAGCCCTTAAACACTGTTGGTGGGATCGTAAATATTACAGAAGACAGTACAGAGCTTCCTCAAAAGAGCTAATCCAGCAGCCCCACTACCGTGTATATATCCAAAGGAAATGAAATCGGTAAGTTGAAGAGCTACCTGCACTGTTGTGTGTATTATAGCATTCTTTAAATAACCAAAATATAGAATGTTATATCATCTCATAAAAGAGTGTCTAACAATAAAAAAATGGGGGAGGAAAATGTGGTGTGTGTACACAATGGAGTACTATTCAGTCATAAAAAGAATGAAATCCTGTCATTTGTGGCAACATGGGTAAGCCTAGAGCCATCACGTTAAGTGAAAGAAGGGATCAAACACCGAACGATCTCACTCTATGTGAAAGATAAAGGAAAATACTTAATATCATTGAGGTAGAGAGTAGAACGGTGGTTACCAGAGATTAGGGAGGGAAAAGAGGAGAAGATGGTGGGAAAAGGTTCCTTAGTAGGTACAAAATTACAGTTAGATAGGGGAATAAGTTCTGGTGGTTATGTTTTTTGTTTTTTGTTTTTAAGAGACAGAGTCTTACTTTGTGGTCCTTGGTAGAGTGCTGTGACGTCACAGCTCACAGCAAACTCCAGCTCTTGGGCGTAGGGGATTCTCGTGCCTCAGCCTCCCCAGTAGCTGGGACTACAGGCACCCGCCACAACACCCAGCTATTTTTTTGGTGCAGTTTGGCTGGGGCGGTGTTTGAGCCCACCACCCTTGGTATATGGGGCTGGTGCCCTACTCACTGAGCCACAGGCACCGCCCAAATTCTGGTGTTTCATTTATTTATTTATTTATTTTGAGACAGAGCCTTAAGCTATCATCCTGGGTAGAGTGCTATGGCAGCACGGCTCACAGCAACCTCCAACTCCTGGATTCAAGCGATTCTCCTGCCTCTGCCTCCCAAGTAGCTGGGACTACAGGTGCCCGCCACAATGCCTGGCTATATTTTGGTTGTGACCAACGTTTTTGTTTGGTGGGCCCAGGCTGGATTTGAATCTGGCAGCTCAGGTGTATGTGGCTGGCGCCTTAGCTGCTTGAGCCACAGGCGCCGAGCCCTCTGGTGTTTTATTATACAGTAGGTGACTATGGTTGTCAGTAAAGTATATTACAGAATAACTATAAGGGGGGCTTTGAATGCTCTCACCACAAAGGAATGATAAATGCAGGAGTGAGGGATATGCTCATGACCTTGATTAGGTCATTATACATCTCTATCAAAACATCCAGTTGTACCCCCTA